AAGAACGGATCGGACAAGTCGACATGGTATCTGTTCCGACAGTTTTGTAAGTTTACTAAAACACGGTTTGCACAAATATTTAAACATTCCATAGTCTTCATTCGCTTGTCCACAAACAATTTTCAACGTTGCAATAACAAAAATTAGAAACGTGTCAACAAACATAGACCTCATAGTTACTCAATTTAACTGCAGTGAAATACAGGTTTTCCCAACACGGTCACACACGGGTTCGTGGGCCGGTTATGAAAGGCCGGCTTTAACGAAACTGTGCGATTCGGACAATGACCAGACACTGGTTGTGCCATTTTTCATTAATATTGTTCAGTCCGCTGACCTTTTTTTTTGGATACCTGAAGGTTTTTCTTCAGCATTTACTAGGAAAGTACTCTTTCTTAGTTGCAAACAGTACCCGTTTATTAGTTTCTTGTTCTCAGCAATATCCATTTAGTACGCGAGTACACTGATCGGGTGCGATTTCTACATGTCATTGGCTCATTGTATTTCTATACAAAAGGAGTTACGTAAGACATGTACACTGTGTAATCACACAACGCACGATAGGGCTGCGAAAAAAATCTCGATAAATTTGCAGTGTTACTTACATGTGTGACCATTTATTTGGTTGGGTAAGTCTTGCAAAACAGCTAAGAGACATGTCTAAGATAATTTAAAAAGGTTTTGAAACTATGAGAAGATCACATTTCAAAAACATACAACACAGGAGGAATTTCAAAATAAAGTTAGAAACCAAACTGTTAAAGGCGCCATCGTCAAATGGTGAGGGATATTTCAAAGTCCAATTTTTATTAAAAATGTAAGGCTTCGAATGGTACCCAGTCGTGATATAAAAATTTCAGAAGCAGCAATTACATAGTGTGTCAGTGTCAGTAAGTGTGTACGCTCTGTGGATGACCGACATAACTTTTCCTCAGAATTGAATGATTAGGGGGCAGGTGCAGGTGATACTGACGGTTGAATAAAAGAATCACGAAAAAAAAAAAAAATAGTTTGAAGAAATTCAAATCGAGAAAGCTGCAGGGCCCGACGAGCTGCCAAGCGATGTTTAAAAACACTCGGCCAATATAATTTTACCCTTTTTGGTGGTTAAATATTCAATATATTTTGATGACCACTTTAGTATGATAGGAAGCGTGTAGTATTCAAATAACCACAATAGACAGAGTGGGGCCAAGGCCGAATATACGTCATTCTGGCGTTTCATAATAAATGCTTTCTGTTTTATAATTGTATTTTCAAATAATATTCATGGATATGTCTACGTCATAACCTCGTTAAAGGTTATTAGCATATTGTGTACGCAGTGTGCATGCTTCGACCTTTTTTCGTCTTCCACAGCCAATGTGTCATCATAGTGAGGTCAATTGCAATTTACGTTTTATGCAAGTGAAGTTCAGCGCCGTCAATGAAGTGCTGATCATTGTGTTTGTATTCGAAGCCCACACATAAGCGATGCTACCAGATATGTACACAAGCTAACAAGCCGCCCCAACCCAACGACTGCAAAAGATTTATACACACTCCTACCATGTCATAGTTCCCCAATAACTCTGGGTAAATCTGGGCCGTCAGCTACAATAAGTGAGACAGAATGCTCAAAACATTTCTAAGAAACAACACAGTTTAATTGGATAGTATTATATTAAAAATGCTATGAAAACAAATTTGAGTTGGACAAGTGGTCCCCAGATTTTCAGGCTGTATTCTCCAGCTCAATTCATACGAAAATCACTGTAGTATAGACCATACAAATGGCGGCGGGAGAGTGTATCACTCGTCACTTTACCGTTGAGGACGAGGTTACCATCTGTTGCCAATAGGTTGGCCAAATATGTTGGGTTGTTACATTGCTTAAAGCGGGAGAGTCGTCACCTGCGCACGCGCGGGAATTGAGTCCCAAGTGACGATAACAACACAC